CACACACACACACACACACACACACACACACACAATGCCTCCTACCAAAACCAAGTGTACATATGCTGCTGCTTACAGATAACATAAATTTTAAAAAATGTGATCATAGCAGAAGCACAGCATAGATCAGAAGAAGGGGAAGATGTGACATGCTTTTAAGCAATGATGGCTTCCACTTAAAGAATGAACTGCTGTTTTTCTTCTGGACAGGATAACGTGCAAGCATATTGTTGATCTCATCCTTATGGATTGGAGCAAAAATTACAACAGGCATTTTGGGCAAAACTTCTGAGAGATCTGACATTTGAGGCTTTTCAGTGTAATAAAAATAATAAGGTGTGAAAACATGGTCTCTTCTGGGCTACTTGCCCCATAATTGTTAAGTGGCCCTGCAAGTGCCATCATGGCTAATGCCAGTGGGTTTTATATCTTTTCTGTCCTTAGACCTGAGGAAGAACTTTGACCAGGAACCACTTGGGAAAGAGGTGCCTCTCGATCACGAGGTCCTTTTGCAGTGCCGTCCTCCTGAAGGAGTGCCAGCTGCTGAGGTAAGATGAGCCCTCTGTGAGGACCACCAGGGACAGCCCCCTGGGAAACATTCATGTGAGTGAAATGGGGATTATTTCATAATAACCCACATCTACTCATATTCTTATGATTGTAACATCTGTTTATTAAATTGCACGCCCAGCCTGTATCCCTCTGTCAAGAGTTGCGCCATTCTTTGTGCCCAGTTTATTTCTCAAAAGCTTGGGAAAACATCTCAACCTGTTTTGCAGTTGCAGTACTACATGTTACTCCTCTGTTGTACTCCTCTTGGTAGGTTAGGATTTATCAGTGCCACTGCCTACAGTGACCTTGTGGGCCCATTTGTCCTTCCCCCATTCGATGCAGCAAAAGCCAAACAGCTGCAATTCTCTTTATATTTGCCCCTGGTTTTCAAACCTTTTTCTTGCAGAATACTCTGTGGGGAAGGAGGTGGCAGAAAGAGGTTTGTTCTACTTTGCATGTACCATCGTCAACCCTTCCTTCC